CTGCCTGTAAGTCAGTTGCAGCTTTATTCAATGGGCCTTGTCCCTCTTCAAGAACACCTTCTGATTTTACTGTAGAGTTAAATAATTCCAAAACTTCCCGTAAACATTTCTTTTAAGGTGGCTATCTGGTGTCTTCTAGGTTCCAACCTTCAAAGTCACCTTACTTTGAAGGTTTCAAAGAATAAACAACAGGATTTTTCTACAAGAAAGTATCCTTTCAATCAACTCCAAAGTCTTAAATCAAATTCATTTGGGCTCTTAATCAATTTAAAACTTTCTAAAATCAATAATCACCCTTTTGTTGTGTACTCTGAAAAAAAGTCTTACAAAATTTTAAAGTTGTAATTTTCTTACTTAATGGATCTTTAACAAGCAGTAAAAGGAGGGAAAAAAGTAAACTTCAAAGTGATTCAAAAGATAAGCTTTGGTTTAACGTTAAGTCCATAAAAGGCTATATTAATGTCAATGAGCTTGGTGGAATCTACGCTGTTTGCAACCGACCACAAAAGGGTTAGCTTCTGCCGTCTACTCACAACACAAAAAGGCAGTTGTCCAGAGTATGTATGGGTGATATCAAGATTTCTTCTTGCTCTGGAAAATTTTTTGGCAGTCTGGATCCAGCATCTGTTTTTAATTGAAATATACTGTTTCGAAAAGGCTAGCTTGCAGTAACGCTGTGAATCTACAGTTGATGCAAGGCTGATGTAACATTTATCAAGATAAAAATCTGAGGCATGATGTAGCTGAGAAAGACTCCCATTGATTGAGAGTGATTGATTTATCAAATTTGGAGACTGTCCATCTCCCTCACAGAGTGAGTTGATATTGATTAAGAGATAAGCATATAACTAAATCTGTGGTTTGTCTGGAATATAATAACAACTATTTTTTTTAAAAAAAAACAATATTTAGAGTGATAAACTAAATCATCTCTATTCTAGAAACCTATTTATCAGAATCTGTAAAACAACAACATTTCATGGCATTTTAAGAGACTAGCGATACATTTGTGACATTGTGAGGACTAGAGCTAAAAGCGTGAGATATTTAAAATGGCTATCATAACAGTTTAAATTAAATTAACAATAAATATTAAAATATCAAGATTTGAATCTAAGCCTTCAACCAATTGGGAGACTTACAATTAAACATGAAAACCTTCTGGACCTACTACTTCTTTTTGTTATTTCTCTAACTGAGTAAGTAATGAAAAGGGGAAAGAAAAGGGAATGTAAAATTGCTTTCATTTTTGGAAACAAATCTGACTGAGATTAGCAAAATAAATAAATAAAATTAACAGTTGAGGAATTGAATTAGAACCATTCAGAGAAAAGGGCCCAACAAAGCTTCTTAGCCAAATACTATCCACAATTAGAATTGGTACTGAACTATATAAAATGTAAAACAAAATATAAATATTGGGACAAACATTTATTAGTAATGGTACCAGTGTTGCTACGTAAAGAAAAGCCATGTTAACATAAGTTAACCCTTAAATTCTAGGCTATACTAGTTAAATATATCAATGTAATATATTAGATTGGATAGTCACTTTCTATAGTTGGAAACAGTTCCAATTTCCATTGATTTTATCAGATTTTATCTTTAATTTATAAAAGCCTTTCTATGCATTATACAAGAATATATCAATATGCAAGAGTCTTACTGGATCAGGCCAACAGCCCATAGAGTCCATCAACTTGTGGCCAACCAACTCCATCAGGAAGGTTGCAAGTTTGTATATGTGGGTGACACTCCTCTTCTACTATTGTAGAGGCAGAGAAATGGTCTTGAGGAACAGGACGAAAAGCTACTACCAAGGAGATAATCAGATAAAAGGGGCCTGGGCCAAGAATGTAAGGTAAGTAACCATTTCAGACAAATCCCTCTTTAGTTCACATGAAGATGAAGGGAAGGAAGTGCATTCAAACCTGCAAGATTCTGTTACTAAAGCTTTACAATAAAAATAGTAGTGACTTAGATGACATTGGTTTTATGGTCTGGTCTACTTTGAAGGGCTGATAACTATTGCTATCTAGCAGCTAGTAAGGTATATTGCCTTAAGGCTAGAGGCAGTAAATATCGCCAAGAACCAAGTCAGTGCTGTTCTTCCATGACAACAGAATTACCCTATGCATTTATTAATTCACACCTGGAAGTAATAAATAAGCAATCCAATGACACATTTAGTAACATTTTCTAAAAGCATACTAATATGAATTTTGCCTCCTATATCAGTGGTGGCGAACCTATGGCATGGGTGCCAGAGGCGGCACTCAGAGCCCTCTCTGTGGGCACGCGTGCCGTCGCCCCGGTCCTAGGCTTTCCGCTGGGTTTTATAAAACCTTTTTGTTTTAGGCCTCCACCGCCGTGTGCAAAAAAAAAAAAAAGGTTCAATCAGTCAATTTCAACTTCTCGCAGGAAAAAAAAGTTTTTGCAAAGTTGGAATTGATTGATTGAACTTTTTAATCCCACCCAGTCTGCTGTTACCACTGCAGCCATGCCCACCGAATTGGCCACACCCAGCCAATGGGCCACACCCACCCGGCACTCGACGATGCATAAGTAGGTTTTGGGTTGCAGTTTGGACACTCAGTCTCTAAAAGGTTCGCCATCACTGTCCTATATGAATTCACTCTGGCAAAGTTACATTACATTCTCAGATCTCACAGTATGTTGACTTTTACAAAGGAATTACAATATAAGAATATTGGTTTTCTGTTCAAAATGCTATACAAATATTTAGGGGTTTTTCCCCCTCAGGTGCTTAACCAAGTAAGGAGTTGAATCCAGGTTATTTATTTATACCCAGTAATAAAATGAAAAAAAAACCATAGTAATTGAAAATTCTGTTATGTGACATATGCTATATTTTGCAGACATACGTTACAATTTTCAACTTCTGTGACACTCTCCCTATCAGAAATAACTAATCCTGATTGTAAGGCAAGAGGATCTCTTTACTGATCACAGGACCATTGTTCATACCATTGCAATAAATGTCAATTCAGTTGCATACTATACACCAACAGGGAAATTGCATTTTTAAAGACAGGAATGTCATGCAGTGTGTGCTATTGCTTGGTTTGCCTCATCTCTTCAGTTCCTGTGATGTCGCCATAGGTATGTGATTGTATAAAATATAGCTGTTGTGTCAGTCTAAGGAACTTAGAAGGCAAAGAAGGTAAGGCCACAGCAACATTGGCCAACAACATTTGTATTTTACTCTTTGTTATTTTTCTTTACTAGGGAAGGAAATGGTTATATGTACTGGTACCATTTTTCATTCCACTTCATGACTGCAAAGAAATGATAGTTCTGATATGTATGTCAAGAGACAATTAAAAACTTTCTGTTTGAACTTACTGTGCTGCATTACATATGTCACAGCTACTGGCTAGTAAAATGTAACTCTGGCTCAGGAAACAGGATGTTCATATATTACAACAAGAAAATGCAATGTTGTTGACACCCATGCCCATATTAATGATAATAAATAAAACCCTCTATTTCACAAGCATAAACCAGTGAGCACATACTGCAGTGCCCACATAGTTAGCAACACTTTGCCAAATTAAAAAAAAAACTAAGCAAGATTGGATGGAGATTCCAGGAAATGTCTGAATTGAATGCTAGATTGGGAAGCTGAAAAAAGTATTCAGGAAAAATGAAATGTCAAATCACTTCTCTTTTGTTGCCAATACAAATAGATGGAAGAGTTACTGAAGTTCTTAGGAGTCAAATTCGTAAACAGAGCATGCTATGAGTTCTCTAACACAATTACTCTATTAATTAAAAGTGAAAGGGTGATTTCAGGGACCTTCACCTATAGCAGGGATGTCAAACTGCCGGCTCAGGAGCTGGATGCATCACGCAGAAGCTGCGCCCACCCCAGCTCCGGCAAGGGGGGAAAAGTTGCAATACGTCGCAACATGTCACGTGATGCGGCGAGTCTGATACCCCTGACTTATAGGCACATATTTTGGATATATATTTGTGTTAGTATTAGAAATCATAGAAATCAAATTAGAAACATTAGAAATCGGAACTGTTATTAATTTCAAAAGTCCAAAGCATCATTTGTATGCCACCCAGACATCTAACAATGTACACCTTACATTGATATTCAGTGAGAGTTTTCAGAATCTGAGTTGCTTAAGTCAGCTAAGGGTAATAGCTATTCTGGTGTGATAACTGTTCTTCTCTACCAATGGCATAAAACAAATAAGGCAAAAGACTTTTCCTTATTTTGTTTTGATAAAGAAACAAGTGGGTAAAAAAAGATCAGCTTTGAGTGTTGGACTTCACTTTTTAACTCTTTCCAGCAGGAGAAATTCTACCACATTTCATAAGACGCCTTACACCTGCCAGAGGACTATTCTGAGAGTTAAATGAGATAATGCAATTATTTTTTAGGTTTGTGTCGTTTTAGAGAAATGTATGGAATTGTTTGCAATTATGCTAAAGAAATACAGGTGTGGTCACGGCTTCTGAAAACTAGAGCTTCATTTGTCAAGAAACCACAACCACTCCTCTAGGAATCCCCTCGGTGAAGTTTAACCCTTTGGAAGACGACGATTTGTCTATCCAAACACGACAAAAGATGCTCTGTGCAGCGTCAGAGCCACTCACTTCATTATTACTTGACAGATTGATGCTTTCCCGTGAACTCAGCCCTGGGGCTGTAAACAAGTCCGAGAAATGGAAGATTTATATCAGGGTTTGACTTAGATAGCTGGCTTGTTTCCCCTAGATTCGCGGGTCTTCCAGTCTGGTATTTTGGGTTGGGGGGGGAGAAGGGAATTGATTTTGCAACTTAAGCAGCGAGGGAGAAAAAGCAGCAAAAAGCCTTCGCCTACGTGATTATTTCTCCCCAGCCCCAACCGCGAATTAGCATTTCTTGCAGCTTCGCGAAGACTTAACAGGTGGAATGAGGAGGCTCCGCCAGACTCTTGGCAGCCGCCTCCTGGCCAGGCTAACGGAGTCGAAGCGGTTCGTACCTGGAGGACTCTCCGCTGAAGCTCCCGCCGTCCAGCAGCCGCACCTTGCAGAAGAGGATCCCGTTGACGAAGGGCACCGAGGAGAGATCGTCCAGTTCCAGCTCCACGCGGAATTTGAACTTCTTTTTCTTCATCATCATGAAAGCCATGCGGGGCAAGGCGGGCGAAGGAGGCGCGCGCTCTAAAGCAGCACCCGCCGCAAGGGCCAAGGGGAGCGCTTTCCCCCCCCCTCCCTCCCTCCCCGGACGTCCTCTTGTCTCCGCTTAACCCCCCGCCGCTTCCTCCATTACTACCCAGCCGTCGTTTCTTCGGCCCTTGTGACCAGGCAATGCAGGGGAGGAGCGGGAGGAAAAGCAGCAGGAGGCGGGTGGGCGAAGAAAGAGAGAGAGAGGGAAGAAAACACGCCCGCCCGCGCGCTGTCTTCACCCTAGGCAGGCGGGCGCGGGCGCTCTGCTACGACATGCGTCTTGCTGCGCCCGCCCCAACGAGCGAAGGAGACGCCGGCCGCAAACCGCCCGCGTTCAAACCAGCCCGCCTCCTCCTCTCCCCCCCCCCGGACGGGCTCTCTGGAGGGGAGAGACGGTCCCTTCCCCAGAAGGCTTCTTCTCTGCCCTCCTGCGGCGTCAGTCCGTCGAGTCACGAGGAGCCCCCGCCGAGTGACGGGAGCGCTCTCCCCTTTCTCGGGGGTGGGCGCCCCTGCCGGCTCCAGCCGGCACCGAAGGTTCCCGGGGGTGAAAAAGGTGGCGTGGTCGGCCGGCCGGTCCGGCGCGCGCCAGGCAGCGAATCCCTGGGCGCTCATCCGTAGCAATACCCCCGCCAGCTGCAGTAGGACCCCATAAGGACCCCGGCGGGTTTTTAGGCGTAAAGAAAGAAATGGTGAGGCTCTGGCTGGGGGGGGGGGGGACAGGCCCGCAACCCAGGTGTTGCAATGGTGTTACTCGTTTCCTGACCAAACGGCGACCTCGCAGATTTCAGAGGTACGAGAGAAACAAGATTTCAACTATAGGCATCTCTCTCCAGCCAAGCGACAAGGCCCCATCACGCTTTGGCTGCAATCCTGCATTCTTTCTTCCCGGAATAGTATAATTTCCCTTGCATTTAGTGACCCCCTTCCGTGTTTATGCTTTTTATGCTTTATATATTGAGGCGTTTCCTCCATGCATCAATGATTTTTAATCTTTATTCGCAATTCATTTAGAATAATAATTCCGGGTTCCTTAGTTCGGAGACACTGGTGCAACTTAGAATTACTGTTCACTTAAAAAGGCTAATTAAAAACTCCTTCTGGCAAACCTGATCATGAGTAGAAAAATGAACCTTCTTGTAAAATAATGTGTCCCCAGTGTATTTATCCTCTTTGCAACTGAGATGTATTTGTCTTACTGTATATGATTCACAATTTGAAAAGGGTTTTTAGCACGGTTTTATGACTCTTCCCGCTCTTAAGATCTTGGCAGAAGTACTGAGTTGTTAGTGCCTTAAGGACTTTCAATCAAGGAGAAGTGCCTTAAAATAGCCGGATGTTTAATACCATAAGCAAAATACACTCAGCAAAAATTAGGACACATATCATTATTCACTTTAAGGCATCATCTCAGAGGAGACAAGTGGAAGAATGTTGTGTTTTGCACAGTTAAATGGGCCACTAATTACTTTTACAGAATTATAGAGTATTTCACTTTTTCTCTAAAACACTCAAGGCAATATTTTTATTCCCACGCCCTGCCATTATATCTTTGGGCTAACCTTACAGTGTAGATTTTGCTGGGAGAGAGTGACTAGCAGTGAATGGATCTGAACGTTGCAAAAGTTTGAACCAAGAACATGAAGGAATGTGAAATTGGATCTCTCACAATAATAGCTCTGCTTATTACAGTAATGCCAAATTTAGTAATTCCTGGGGTGCATATTTTCAAGCATGTAGTTATTGTATTATCAGCACTTCATGTTAAACAGATAAGGAGAAGTTTGTCTTTTGCCAGGTTGTGTACATCTGAGTGGATATTTCTTCTCCCTCATGCCTGTTACCAGTAATTTACTCAGGAAGTTATAACAGGTTTGCACATACACAGACACACACACACACACACACATTGTTATGATGCTTTTCAAGTAAATAGTTTGCACTCAGCTTAGCAAATTATATATACATTTCTATACAGAGCTTCCTGCAGTTTCTTAACTGTCTCCTCTTATTCATACAGGTGTTTCTCATTATAACAGATATGCCATTAGAAGCTTCATTACTTTCCTGTCTCAGACTTATTTTTAACCTAAAGTGGAGGATTGAAAGAAGGAAAAATGACCTTTCCCTGAATTTCTGGATTGCAAAAACAACAAAGTAATCCTACACGGAACCTCACCAAAAATATCACTTGAAGCCAAGTTCGCCAAATAGAAGCTGTCATGTCATGCGAGCTGACTCACTTGAAAAGTCAAATATACTGGGAGCAATCAGCAGAAAAAGGATAAGGGGCTGCCCTAGTACCTATTGGATGGACACTATAAAATGGGTCCTCAACCCCTGGTCCGTGGCCCAGTGCCAGGCTTCAGCCTGTTCAGAATTGTGCAGTGGAAGTGGTGGGAGAGCGTCTACTTGCACGTGTGTGTGAACCTGCATTTCTGAAAGCGCACAAGCAAAACATCCCCTCTTCTCTCCCCCCCCCCGCTGCCTCAAGCGGTCAGCCGAGCTATAAAGGATGACATTTGGAAGACCATGGCGGATCTGAAGGAGGGGCATAGAAAGTGCTGATTCATAAAGTGGCCGAGGGTCAGACATGACTGAATGGTGGATGATGATGAACTTCTTGGAATGCTAGCACCTTGGTCAAGTTTTCCTTGCTACTTCTGGTCTGTCCTTTCCAGCATAGGATATATAGAGGAAATAGAGAAGCAAGCAAAGGCATGAAACCTGTATTCTCAGTATTTAGGTAGTCCTTGACTTACGACCGGTTGTTTAGCAACCTGTCAAAGTTGCAATGGACCCCAAAAGCTACATACGATCCAGTTCTAACAGCCAGCTCCCCTTGTGGTCACATGATCACATTTTGGGCATTTGGCAATGCCTGCTTTTCCGTCTGATGGCAGCATCTCATGGTCTTATGATTGTGATTTAAAGAATTTACTGGTTTTTGCTAAAAACTGGTGTTTACTTCCGGTTTCCGGCAAAACTGCCTCACAGCAAATCATGGGTTCACTTAATGACCACCATGCTTGTGTTTGCTTAGTGACCACAACATTCATTTAATGATCACTGCAAAACAAGGTTATAAAAATCAGATGACCCACTTTTACAACTGTCACAACATATGACTGTAATTAGCAGGCTCAATTACAGTCATAGGTTGAGGACTACCCTATAATGCTGGATCTATAGTATATGCCTACCAGCATCTCCCTTAATACCCTCCAAGCTAGGTGCACTACCTGATGTTACTTTTGTGGATTTCTTTTTAGTTTAACACAAACTTAAACTTTCATCTTTAGTTCTACCTACAGTCCAGTGTTTTATTTAGAAGTGTGTCTACTTTTTCAGACACAAAAACAAAAGACAAAGATAAACTCTGTAGAGAGCATACTGAGTGGCTAGAATGGATCATAGAGAATAACTACTGTATATCAATCTGCCTTCAATCCTATTTTCCGCAATCTCCATTCAACCTTTTTTAAAAAGTAGTGAAAAATATATTCTCAACATTCCAAATGTATAAAGCAAAAATAGTATAATTTAGAATGGAGGGTGATAATTATCTATTTTTAAATAAATTATAAATTTATAAAGCTATTCCATTTTCATCCCAAATGGATTATTGTTATGCAGTCATCAAATAATTGTAAGTTAGAAAGGTTATTGATCTTTCATGTTTTAAAATACAACTTTTTAAGTATAACCTAATAACAATATTTAGAATAATTTTATTCAGCAATAGATAAGACTTTCCTTATACAGTGGACTTTTTTTTAGCCCAATGTTTTATCTCCCTCTGCTGGATTCATGGTGTAATTATTGAGAAGTTGATAGCATTTAAAAGGGAAAATTGCTCAAACCTTTGCATTTCCCGGACTTTAAATATTTTTTAATTTGTAATTATTATCTGATTTGTGGAGTCTTTAGTGCTTTCTGAATTTTTTGTTTGCTGGCAGACATTTCATTACTCATATATGAGTGAATGGGGGAAGACTACCCGTATATAAAGGTTTGCACTGTAGTTGTTAGATTAATAACACGGTTGTTAAATGAATGTGGCTTCCCCGTTGACTATGCTTGTCAGAAGGTTGCAAAAGATGATCACGTGATCCTGCAACATTGCAACCATCATTAATACATGCCAGTTGCCAGGTGTCTAAATTTTGATATGAGGATGCTACAATGATCGTAAGTTTGAAAAACAGTCGCAAGTCATCTTTTTCAGTGCCATTGTAACTTCAAATGGTCACTAAACGATAACTATCTGTACTTACAAAGTAATAAAGATGGGATAAAAATCAAATCAATAAATAAAAATCTATTATCATGTGTTGCCAGTAAACAGAGTAGCAAGCCACTTCATTAACTGGATAATGTTCACCACGTTCAAATGACATTTCTCATTAATGCAAAATTGAAATTCAGGAAAATTATGCAGAAATGAACACGTTGCATATTATACAGATATTGTTCCTATATTTATCAATAGTGCAGAATAAACATGGACTATATGACAACTGACTAACCCTAACCCTACATTCTAGGTTGGTCTTCCCTACTTTTTTTGTTCTTCAAGTGTCATCTCTGACCAGCAATATCATTAAAGAAATGCAATGAGTACTTGATAGGATTGTGGTTGTGGGGAAAATAGAGGAAGGAATGCTACATATATATCCTTCAGATCTTAGTGGAAAGGTAGGATATAAATCTAACAAGTTAAAATGAAACATCAGTTTTGTAATTGTAATTATGCTTCTTGCTTTTATTGCCTGTCATCTACTACAACATAGATGCAGCTGCAGCCAAGCAAGGCACTGCCATTTTAGAAAATAAAGGTGCTATTTGTAATGATGCTGTTTGTTCTGATTGTTCCTGATCAGATTTTGTTATTTTTTTTTTGGTAGAAGTCAGCAATGGAAAATATCTTTTGGAAAATAAATTTTATCCTGGCTGCAGGTCTCTTGGCTATTGATGTTGCCTTAGAAACTGTACTTCCAGTTGATATAGTAACTAAGATGGCTCTTAAGAGCAAAGTCTCCCACAGCAGCTCACATTCTGTTTCAACCTATAATGCAAATAAATTTTGGGATCTTTGAAACCAAATTCTTCATTTAATCATGGAATTACGGTATAACAGATATATTTGCCTAGAGTCAAATTTTGAAATACTGTTTTCATCATATCATCATTAAAAATGCTTTAAAATATCCAAAGCAGACAGTCCAACAGAGTTAGGAACCCTAAAATGCAGTGTGGTTAAGAACAGATAGAACTTTTATTATTTATTTTTATTTGTTAAGTTTATTTGCCGACCATCTCACCATGAGGAGACTCAGGTCAGCTTAGATCATTGAAACAATAAAACCATAAAATATACATATATACTGCTCAAAAAAATAAAGGGAACGCAAACCCCTTCAGTTCCATGTTAAAATGTGCCCTTTATTTTTGTGAGCAGTATATATTTAAGTTACAATAAGATACAGGTTATGATTAAAAGATGGGGAGGGAGAGCGTAGAATGTATGGGGGAAGGTGGTTTCAGCTGTAGGTCCATCAACCACCTCCAGCGTAATAATTCTCCCATTGGGGCCCCAAGCCAACTGGCAGAACCAAGTCTTCAGGTTTTTGCAGAAGGTCTGGAGGGTGAGAGCCAATCTCACTGTGTGTGTGTGTGTGTGTGTGTGTGTGTGAGAGAGAGAGAGAGAGAGAGAGATTCCAAGGAACGAGCCATGGCAGAGAAGGCTCTTCTGGACCCTGCCAGACAGAATTCCCTGACCAAACTTGAACTTGCAAAAAACAACAACATTGCAGTGCAGATATTTCTTTTTGGAGTTCCAGATAACCATATCTTTTCTTTTTTTCAGGAATTTTCATTCCATTCCTCGTCCTTTGGTTTCCATCTTCCTTTTATCAGTCAGACAATAATCCATCCCAAATGAGGATCCCCTTCTTTGATTTTCTTTGCTTTCCTTTAGAGCAGAGCTGGGCAACATTTTTTGTGGCTGAGGGGCACTCTTCACAGTCTTTAAGCCACTCTGTTATGGCATGATACAAAATGAACAGATCCATAGGAGAAGATCCAGGGGTTTCTCTAGGTTTCCTAGTGTTGAAGGAAAAGTCTTCATCATGGTTCAGTCCAAGCCGGGAATAAACAACGTGGCGACTGCTTTAAAAATAAGTTTATTGAAGAGGAGAGCCAGACAGAAAGATGGCTCTGGAAGAAAAGAGAGCACATGTAGGGAGTGGGTTTTTATACCCTCTGGAGCCTTTTGTTTAGAGTTCCTGTGGCATGAACTTTGACCTGAGTCTGAGTGTGCCTTTCTGGTATTCTGATGGTGGTGGGTTAATCCCAAAGGTCATATCCTGCTTTCCTGGGGCTGTGGCTGATGACTCTTAGAGTTTTGGTGTGAGGGATTGTTGATTCTAGGAATCTTTCTTCCTAATCCCAGTTTCCTGACTCCAGTCTTTCTAACAAGATTATCACATCTGCATTTCTGCAGACTTGGTTTCTGTTTGGGACAGAATGACTTGGGGGGTGGGTTGGTTTCTGCCTTTAAAATCTTTTAGGGAAATATATTCTGCCTTTTAAATATTTCCAAGAATATTTCTTTCTGGGGGGGGGGGAGTGACTTCCCACACTAGTTTTTAAATAGAGTTTTTCTATTCCAAAATACTGCTTGCAGGTTTCTCACCTAAAGATTACACAGTTGCTGCTGTGGAGAAAATACGAGGCAAAAGTATTAAATATGTTTCCTGCCTTGAGTTGACCAATATATGCATATAAACACAAAAGGTGGTATAAAAAGTTAATCATTATCAACTGCTAGGAAATCCTAGGTTATTTAAAATATTCAGAAAGGAAAAAGCCAGCAGAGATGAAGTTTTAAGAAACTGGCTTATTAATTTACATTAAATTTTCCTGTGGGACCTCTGGGTCTCCCTACCTACCTATCTATATATTAAATAATGATCATGTTATCAATATTTTATACACATGAATACAATCTTTGGTTATCAATTTGTTTAGAGCTATGAATTGCTGTAAGAAAACAAGCTAAACTTAAATCCATATAAAACAAGCTGTTGATAAGTAGGAACCTGGAGTTCACAGTGTGCTGGATGGGGTCTCACTCCTCTTGAATGAGCAGATGCTCTATCCTTAGTTTTCATTGGGTTTGCAGTGATGGGTGTGATAAAGAGTGCACTTGCAGAGTTACAAGTCCTTCACCAGTTGCAATCTTTTCTCAGCCAGTCAGATTGAGCAAATTGTTGAAGCTGTTTAACCATTAATGTTAACCTTTTCTTAGTATTAACTACTACATCATTTTGAATTGGTTTATTAACCATAGTTTATCATTTTGGGGTTGGACAGTTTCTCATTACCTGCCCCCTCAAGTTTTCCTAGGAATTCCTTCAGAGTAGCCAAGTATAGGAAATGGATTTTCCTGGTAAATATATATTAACAGAAAGCTTTTCCTGCTGTATTGTATTCATTTTGCAAAGAATCTACTACTGGAGCCCCTAGAACGGGACATGTGTCCTGCTCAATCCCTTTCTCAAGTAATTGTTACTCACCAAATGTAGGTAAGGAGATAGCCGTGATAAGTGTATGTGCGTAATAAGACATGTGAAGATATCTATGTAAGGATTGATAAAACTGCATTTTGGATCTCCCTATAACCTTAGATCACTTTACGATTACACCTCTTATGTAATTATAGTTAAAGAACCTCCTTAATCTCTTCTGTTAAAGATTTCAATAGGATTACTCCTTCTGCTACTGAAAATAGTCGTTTACAACAAATACCATTCAACAGGACTAGTTTCGGCGTGTTAGATATCTGCCTGCCCTGCAGCCTTTCTTAATCTCGGATCTCCAGATGTTCTTGCGCTACGCAAGTGTCCGCAGGGTATGACAAAACCAAAACCAAACCATAAACAACAAGCAAAGCTTCGTTCGTCCCGCCGCGGCCACCATCTTGACTTTTTTGACCATGCCCTCCGGACACCCTGGACAGCTTGTGTTATCCTCGATAAACAAGATCGCTCGCCACCCAGCCAATGTGGGGACGCCAGCTTGATACAAAGGAAGGCTCAGTCTAAATCATCTTAGACACGTTCCAAATTCCAGACCTAAAAACTCAGCGGAAGCCAAATGTCAAAAAGATTCAGCCTTGCAACGGTGTAAACACGAAAGCGAAGCAAGCTCTGTTTAAATTGGAAGCGGCGCTCGCTTTAAGGCGATTGTTTCCATGGGAATCAGCGCGAGTCTAATTGGACCCGCGTCTCCCTGGCCAGCCCGTGTAAGATGCCACCATTGCGGCATCTGTCGTCGTCGGCAAAATCTTCCGGAGATTCCCTGGGATTTACCTCTACGCGAACACGCCAGACTCGGGCATTTTTAAAAAAAAAAAAAAAAGAGAGAGAGAGAGAGAGAGAGGCGCAACTGTGTGTGTACAGTTGCAAATACTATAGTAAAGACTGTAGCGCAACTGTGTGTGTTGCAAATACTATAGTAAAGACTGTAGCGCAACTGTGTGTGTTGCAAATACTATAGTAAAGACTGTAGCGGGCTTCCCGGGGTAAAATTGCCTATCCCCGACTGCGTGATTTGCTTTCCTGCAAACTGCTCCCTTATGTACTGCACGTAAGGGAGGAGGCCAAAGGAACCAAGCCCCTCCTATGTCGTGAGTGAGTCAACCACCGGAGAATCCAGTGAGGAGAAACCAGCTCTTCCCCTTCCTGCTCCCTCCTGGGGTGTTGCCTCTTGTCCGTCATCTTTATTAAACGTTGGGTGGCTCCTCCCAAGAGCTGCAAAAAGCCAACGGTATTTTTAAAGACTTCGCTTTAACGAGAGGCCTTTAGATTGTTGGGTGTTTTTATTTTTTTACGATCGGCTTTGGCGTGTAACCGTGCTTTGGCTCTCTTCCTGCTATTTATCCCCATTTTGTTGTTTAGCCCTCCGGACTAAAAAGTTCTTAGGCTGCACAATGCTCCGCATTCTGGGGAGCTTTGTGTTCCCGGAGGCTGCCTGTGAAGCGGCCGAAAGTAAGTCGAGGTACGAAAACCTCTTCAAGAAACTAGATAGCAACCAGGATGGTCGAGTGGACATTGCTGAGCTGCAAAGTGGCCTTAAGGAGTTGGGCATCCCTCTGGGAGATGACGCGGAGAAGGTGGGTGCAAGGCATAAGACTTGCTTAAGAGGAGGAGGAGGAGGAGGAGGAGGAGGAGGGAAAAGAAGCATGGGAGTAACTCTGTTTCTGGATCCGAACCCCTCATAAAGGAGAGTCGTGGAAACCCGAAGGCTGGCGAGGTGTTGTGTGTAAACCTTATCTCAATACAAGTTTTTTTTTAAAAACAAACAAACAATGGTTTTGGCTACTGTATAAAAAGAGCATGCCAGCCTTCCTTCCACTCATCCCCATTCATTCCACCTGGGGATTTTTAAAGAGTTGTATTATTCATTGGGGGAGGCCATGCTTTTCCTCTAGATTTTCCTCTAGATCAGGGGTGTCGAACTCGCAACGTGACGTGTCGCGATGTATCACGACTTTTTCCCCATTGCCGGAGCTGGAGGGGGGCGTGGTTTCAGCATGACGCATCCGGCCCGTGGGCCGGCAGTTTGACACCCCTGCTCTAGATCTATTTCAGTGTTTCTCAACCTTGACAATTTTAAGGCATGTGGACTTCAACTCCCAGAATTCCACAGCCAGCATTGCTGGCTGTGGAATTCTGGGAGTTGAAGTCCACATGCCTTAAAATTGTCAAGGTTGAGAAACAATTATCTATTTCCTTATACAGTATTTGATGCCATCAAGTGGCTCTTTGCTGTAAAAGTTACAGGCAATTCCCATTCACAGGGCACTGAGGAAAGGTTGTGAGGACAGCTAATTTGTTCTGGTGGACTGTAAGTAAAACGTGAACTATCCCCCATTCTTAAAAAAAGAGAAAACTGAGGAAAAATAAGGCAACTACAAGAAGAGTGGTGTGTGTGTGAATGACAGATTGTTGGCCAAGAAAAAGAAAATAACCAGTATATATAAGTTTAAAAGAAACCAAATTTGATGGTAGACTTTGTGACCTCAAAAGTTATTCTGAATTTGTGACAAACTGTGAGTAGCTCTTGAAGCAGTTTTCTAGATGTGTCTCTTTAAGAAGAAGCAATTTACCATATCCGATGCAATCTATTCTTGGAGTATAGTTAGTTGTAAAGGGAGGCAACTTATCATAACTGAGCCATCTGTTTATAGATTATAATTCAATTAAGTTTTATCTGATCAGTGTCCTTATAGTAAAAGAGAGATGAGATGTAATAATCACACACTGAATGCTAGCCGTAGCATCTCTAACCAAGTGCTATGTTGCCAATTATGGAATTGCTAGAAATGAAATGATAACCTTCATTATAGACAATTTATCATTTTGGGGTATGGTACCAAATGTATCTATCTGCACAAACATGGAAGAAATAATATCAAAGTGATGTAGCTTTCATCACATGTGATAGCTGAGCAATAATAGATGGATTCCAGAAAGAAGAATAAGCCTGACTGAAAAGGCTGAAGATTGGAGGGGTGTGTACATCATGACACAAAAACTGTGACTTCCATACAGGATTCTCTCCCTTCATGCTAAGAATACATTCCTTGAAAACCTGACATAAAGTGAATTTGCATAAAGCAAGACACAGAAGCAGTGGAAAACAAGTTGCAGGGTAGGTAACCCAAATGCATTGATAAACGGGCTTATACAAATAATCCTCGTTTAGTGACCACAGTTGGGACTGGCAGCTTGGTCGTTAAGCGAAGCAATTGCTAAGTGAAACTGCAGTTGTGTTTACAATCTTACTTTAGCTTTATAGAATTGAAAATGTCATAAATGTGAGGATTGGTTACTTTTTTATCACCAACATAACTGTGAAGGATTGCTATATGAGACAATCGCTATACCAGAACTACCTATACATTTGTAGAGCTTTTATTTTAAGCATTATATTACTCAAAATCTTTTTCTTTCTTGTCTCATATCCTTTGTATAGAGAAAGCATTATCTGTTCTTTATCAATCTTGTCTACAGCTGGATTTCTAAAATGCACAGTTACCATGGTAGAGAAAGAGGATACGTTGTGGCATTATGAATTTTATTCTTTACCATGTTGTGCTTAAAAGCTTGTCCTACGGTAGGACTGAGGATTTTGCAGCAGCTTAACATAATTTGTTCAACTTTATTTCTTTTTGTTTTGAACAAGATTATGATTCCCTTTTGATTTCTTAATAAAGAGTAGTAGCTATTGCTGGTATGGAGACAGGACATACAACATGACACAATGGTAAATGTGTGAACGAGGGAAGAAACGGGTTTTGGCATGAAAATGTTCAAGCAGTTTTAGCAGGATGATGTCTTGGCACATTCTCAGACATATAAAGCAAATTGGCTATGCTGGCCCAAACAACACAATGCTTTTGTCACATAAAGTGAATTGTTGGATAAAAATGATCGTTTATATAATAGCAGATCCACATAAAGCAAAGGAAGCTTGTTCTTTTGTCAGATGTCAAGACATAAGCATGTAACGGCAGAGTTTGCATTGTGACATTATCACGTATTATTGTTTTGATGTGGTTCAGTTTGCTGTGGAAAGGAAAGAATCAGAGATACAGTACTTAAAATTATGAGGAAAAAATGCTTTGAAATATACCAGAGAAAACTACAAATAACAGAGGAAGTACATGCAGTAGAAGATATGTATTCAGAAAAAGGAAGAAAAAAAATGGGGGGGGGGAAAGGCTGCCAAATCGAGCACAATGTGCAAAGAGCATAGGAATATGAGGAACAGGATTTCCAGGAAATTGCTTTGAGACTGATTCCTTTTTTTAAAAAAACAATAACCCACAAATATTTTAGTCAAATAAAAATATGATGAAATATCAGCTGTACTTTGTGACTGGGATGGACTTGTGCAATTTAGCAGTTTTGATCATCAAACCAGTTCACCTTGGCACTGAACATAGCGAAAGATCCCCACATATAGGTGGCAACATAAGGTCTTTGTAAAGGACGACAGCAGAATTCCCAAGATCACATCCACATCTATTCAAGTTGGAATCCTTATGCTATGCTAGCACAGTACCCTCGCTCATGGCCCCAGCTCATTCAGTTAACCCACTTTTCTGGGTTTCCATAATCTTCTGAACCAGGGGTCTTCAAACTTGGCCCTTTTATGACTTGTGGACTTCAACTCCCAGAATTCCTCAGCCAGGCACCCTGGCTGAGGAATTCTGGGAGTTGAAGTCCACAAGTCATAAAAGGGCCAAGTTTGAAGAGCCCCGTTCTGAACTGTAAAAGAGCACAAGGGCTGGATATGTATAATGACCAAATTCTTTTGGTCTACCATGAGATGTCCATCCAGCCTACTGTATATGACTCCTTGCTCAGCAAACCTAGGAAGGGAAATGAGCAATAGCTCAGTTAATCTTGGGTAAGTGTGTCATGCTAAAATGTATCAATGTATCTAAGTATGTTTAAGAAAATTTGAAAACAGGATGGGTGGACTTCAGGTTTGAACCCTGTTTTGTTTTTAACTAGATCCAAGAGATCCAACCACCCAAATTTGGTGCCAAAGGCTTATACAGGTAGTCCTCAACTTACAGCCATACTTGAGCCCAAAATTTATGTTGCTAAGCAAGGCAGTTGTTAAGTGAGTTTTCCCCCATTTTATGATTTTTTTGCCACAATTGTTAAGTGAAGAACTGCAGTCATTAAGTGAATCTATCGTCCCCTATTGACTTTGTTTGTCGGAAGCCAGCAGGGAAGGTTATAAATGGTGATCACATGACCGCAGGACAGTGCAGCTGTTATAAGTACATGACAGTTTCCAGGTGCCCAAATTTTGATCTTGGCACCATGAGGATGCTGCAATGGTTATAAGTGTGAAAACTGATCATAAGTCACTTTTCAATGCTGTTGTAACTTTGAATGGTCACTACACAAATGGCTATAAGTTGAGGACCATCTATATCAGGGGTGTCAAACTGCCGGCCTGGACGCGTCATCCGGAAGCCGCGCCCACCTCATTGCCAGCAATGGCAAAACCGTCCTGATATGTTGCGCGACATCACGTGACATCGCGAGTTTGACATGTCTGATTTATATGTAGAATTCAATTTATTCCGAGTAGTACATATAAAGAGCACATTCAATATCTTTTCTTTTCCCTTGAGGAATAAGTAGTCCTCAACTTATGATCACAATTGGATCCATTCTGTTGCTAAGTGATGCGGTTAAGTGAGTAACACCTGATTTTATACCTTTTGGCCACGGTTATTAAGCAAATCACATATTAAGCAATTCCAACTTTCTGCATTGGCTTGCTTGTTATAAGCCCCTGGGAAGATCACAAATGCCAATCATGTGATTTCAGGATGCTGTAATTGTCATAAATACATGCTGGTTGCCAAGTGCTCAAATTTTACTCTTCTGACTGTGGGAACATTGCAACAGTTGTAAGTTCAAGAACTGGTCATAAGTCACATTTTTCAGTGCCATTGTTACTTTGAACAGTTGCCCAATGAGTTGTTGTAAGTTAAGGACTACCTATATGAGATCAGCCTATCATGATCTACTCATAATCCCAAATGGATTGGGGCGGAAAGTACAACATTAAAATATTTCAACTTACGTTGCTGCCTGTGCAATTTTAGCGTTAATATGAGCTATTTTATAAATAGAAGAAGCATGATAAAATATTTTAAAAATAAGCTATTATAGGAAATACAAATCTCTTTCAAAAATATTCCACTGGCCATCTCCCTTTCCCTTTTCTCCTGGCAACTTGTAGAAAAAAAATGCACATACAGTACAATTTTATTACACTCTTGAGTTTATTTATTGTTTATTGTTTTGGAGCAGAATACCATTTTACCATGCACAATTTTGCTCTTTTGCTCTTTTCATTTTTCATATTGCCCTTGGTCTTATTTCTGAAATCATAAGAATGAAGTAAACTTTTAATAGTTTCATGAGGTCTTCTAGAGCAGGGCTTTTCAACCAGTGGTACGGTACCACCTGTGGTACATTGGCACCTGGCAGGTGGTACGCGACCATCCTAGAAAAGTAGTGGGGGAGGGGAATGAGCTGAACCGGTGGCAGCACCGCACAAGCCTGAGCAAGAGAT